AGGGGGCGCTCGGGGGGGGGGGGGGGGAGTGGGCGGAGCCAATCAGATTGTGGCTTCGGCATGGCGGAACAACCTCCTCTGCAGCAGCCAACCAGCGTGGGAGCGTCTGCCCAGTGCTGCACTGCTGGCTCTTCAGTCCGCCCGTGTGGGTTTTCCTTTGCACCCCCCTCCCAGCCCATCGGGCCTTGCAGTGAGGATATACCAACTCAGAGCTCACCAGCTGCTGTCCTTTATACCTGGCATTACGTTTTATGGCACACATTGGCCAGCCCGACAAAGGGGCATTTATGTCAGATCCGGCCCTCGTAACAAATAAGTTTGACACCTCTGGCCTAGAGCAGTGGTGGTGAACCAAAGCCCTCTCAGTGGGCACGCGTGCCATCGCCCCAGCCAGGCCTAGACCGTCATTAAAGTGTGGAATTCTCTGCCAAATAATTTTAAGTCAATGAAAGCATTTGGGATTGCTTTCCTTACTTTGTTTGGATCATCTTAAGTTAATGTATGAGTTGTTTTTTCTCAAGAAAAACCTCAGTATTCAGGTTTAATTGCCGTGTTGGCCCTTTGCGATAAATAAGTGGGTTTTGGGCCGCAGTTTGGGCACTCGGTCTCTAAAAGGTTCGCCATCACTGGCCTAGAGCATCCCTGACCGTTGTTGGTCCAGCCGCTGCTTAAAAGACTGCCAGTGAGATATTCAAAAGATATTCAGAGCAGAACTAGAAGTGACTGCCTAACAAGGACCTGCAAATGAGTCAGGCGCCGTACAAAGACAAGACGCGAGCATGACAGCGTCTTGGAGACCAGCTTGCAGGTTCACCTGGGAGGGGTTCCAAAAGCCGGGAGGGGCTTCCAAGCCTCTTGTGGAGGTCAACCCGGCACTCAGGGGTACTGCAGCCAGGAGTGAGGAGACCGCGGTGGTACAGCCCAGCTTGATTTCATGAGCCACTTTGTGCGCAATGAGATTACACCGCCCTCATGGCCAGGTCGCTACGTTTATCACACTCCCAGGGCTCTTTTTGTAGAAAAAGCCCAGCAGGAACTCATTGGCATAATAGGCCACACCCAACAGCAGGAACTCATTAGCATATCAGGCCACACCCTGATGTCACCACTCATTAGTATATTAGGCCGCACCCCCATGTTACCAGAAGTGTGGTTATCCAGCCACACCCACCTTTTGCTTCTTATTCTGTTGACCTTGTTTGTTGTCCAAACCCAGGGCTTTTTTGTAGCAGGAGCTCCTTTGCATGTTAGGCCACACACCCCTACTGTAGCCAATCCTAATGAGTCCCTGCTGTTGGGTGTGGCCTATTACGCTAATGAGTTCCTGCTGGGCGTGGCCAACTTGGGAGCCGGCCGGAACTCCGTTCCTGTGCGCTCCTGCCCAAAAAGAGCCCTGTATCCTGCCCCCTCCCAGCTACTGGCAATATTTTCAATCTCTCAAGAAACAGGGCTGCTATCCCCCACGATGTTAGAGTGGTACGAGAAAACCTGGGATCAGTTTATAATGGGGGAAAATAACACACCACTTAAAAACGAAGTCTCGAAGTTCACATTATTCCTTATTTACAGAGAGGTGGCTCCCTGTATTAAGCATTTTTTTTTCCGTGCCCAGCGACTCAGCGTATCAGGATATGATTTTTCTATGATCGCTCACATTTGAACTTGAAACATGGCTTGACTTGTTTACCCTTTTGAATTTTGTGTAGTTGTTACTTGGCTATTGATTATGCTTCACTAACTGTAGATTTTTGACTTGATAATCCTGTAAAAAAAAAAAGTCTCCCAACACAGAATGTTAATCAGATGATAATAAAGAGCTTTAAAATGGGGCGGGAGAGAAAAAAAGGAAACGGGGCTGCTCCCAAGGGTCCGTGGGACCCCCCCAAAAAAACAATCTTTCGGTTCTGTTTACTTTTCTCCCGCCCTTCCTCCAAGGGACGCAGAGCAGAGTCCTTCCACCCCCCTTTTATGTTCACAGCAACTCTATGAGGCAACCGAGGCTGAGAACCAGCACTTGGCCTGAGGTGAACCAGGATCTGAACCTGGACCTGCGCAATCATAAGTCTGCCTTACGCTGCCAGTGGCGCAGAGAGGTGGGACTTCCGGGGCCTAGGTTTACCTTCAGAAAGGAGGGCAGCACCGACGTGGGCGAATTCTTGAGCGACTGCAGCCGGTGCGCGCCCCACAGGGCCATGCCCACGAAGAACACCGCTCCTCTGAGCAGCGCCGCGTCTGTCATGTGAGCCCTAAAGACGAGGATTGGTTTTTTTAAGAGTCATAGTTAAAAAAAAAGTCGGCACAGTCTTACCAAGATGAGTGGCTCTCTCTGGTTTTGCCTACGGAGCCACATATCCGCACCAGGGGATCACCACCGAGCATCGGCTTTAGAGCATCAGTGGCACATCTGCATGCATGAAGTTCATGTGTGCTCACAGAGACTCTGCAGTTCCCGAGGATCCCCGTGGCAGGCGCATTACAGTGTTCCAGAGAACTGGGCCGTACCTCTGGCTCCTCTCGCCGCATTACTGTCTCCCACAGGTTCCTTCAGACCCACTGCCGGCCTTAAAAAGGGGCAGCAGGGGACATTTCCGGGAACCGGGCTATCCCTGCGACAGCAGCCAGCCCCGGGAAAGGGGAGATGGACCTCGCAGACCTTTCTGGGCGTACCTGTCTTCCATGATCCGGCACATGTTGTAGATGGCGCTGTGGCCCAAGTGGGTGCCCAGCAGGTTGCGCATGAGCTGAAGGGAGGAACACCAGAGAGAACAGCGTTCGAAAGGGCTGGGACGAGGGCTGTACAGGCAGGAGGCCTAAGACTTAAGCACCGAGCCCTCCCCACATTTAAAAACAGGGAAACAGAGAGGAGAGGGGAGGGGAAGGGAAGGGAGGGGAGAAGGGAGGAGAGGGGAGGAGATGGGAGGGGGAGGAGATGGGGGGAGAGGAGGGGAAAGAGAGAAAGAGAGAGAGAGAGAGAAAGAAAGAGAAAGAAAGAGAAAGAAAGAGAAAGAAAGAGAAAGAAAGAGAAAGAAAGAGAAAGAAAGAGAAAGAAAGAGAAAGAAAGAGAAAGAAAGAGAAAGAAAGAGAAAGAGAGAGAGAGAGAAAGGGAAAGAAAAAGAAAGAGAAAGAAAGAGAGAGAGAGAAGAAAGAAAGAGAAAGAGAGAAAGAGAAAGAAAGAGAGAGAGAAGGAGGAGGAGAAGAAGAAGAGATTGGATTTATACCCCGCCCTTCACTCGGAGTCTCAGAGCAGCTTACAAACTCCTTCCCCACCCCCCACGACAGACACCCTGTGAGGTAGGTGGGGCTAAGAGAGCTCTTTCGAGGACTGCTCTTGAGAGAACGGCTGTGCCAGAACTATGGCTTGCCCAAGGTCATCCAGCAGCTGCATGTGGAGGAGCAGGGAATCAAACCTGGTTCTCCCAGATTAGAGTCCGCGCTCCTAACCACTGCACCCAACTGGAGAGGAGGAGAAGGAAGAGAAGAGAGAAGACGGGAGAGAGAGGAGAAGACCAAGCCAACAGTAAGTGCGCATTCTGGTGCCCAAGAGCATGATCTAATGCACATTCAGCATCATTCCAGCTGCCGAAGTCGCACGATCAAGTCGCAGAAGTTCAAACAATTCGGGATAAGAGGCACGGCAGAAGGAATCTCTCAGCGGGTCCTACAAAGCAAGAGCTCTTCCCGGCAACCCCCCTTGGACATTCAGAGCAGCTGAAGGCAGAGGCCAGAAGTCACATGCACACGGGAGCCGGGGAGCCACGAGGCCCGCCTTTTCCCCGCCTCCCGGGGGGCGGAGCGTCCGGACGAGGGACTGACCTTCCAGCAAGGCTCGCAGAGCTCCTTCACGTTGATGGTGCGGCACAGGGTGATGATGAAGACGGGGAGGGTCTCCGAGGGCAGGCAGTTGTAGCACACCACGGCATCCAGGACTTGCAGGGAAACCTGGGGAGGGGGACGCGAGATTCCCCTTGCGAGAGCAGCCCACACCTCCAACGCCCATGGCAACTTACAAAGGAACATCAGTCAAAAAAGGGACTGCGTGCGGTGTTCCCTCTAAGATGAGTGAGTGTGAGCCAGCTCACAGTTTTTTAGCCCCCGGCTCACGCATTTCTGCCTTAGCTCAGGAAGGACGGCTCCCGAGCAAACTGATTCATGCAGTAGCCAAATCGCTCACAACTTTAAGCAGGGCTCTTTTTGTAGAAAAAGCCCAGCAGGAACTCATTAGCATCATAGGCCACACCCAACAGCAGGAACTCATTAGCATATTAGGCCACACCCCTGACCGCACAGCTCATTAGCATATTAGGCCACATGAACCCATGTTGCCAGAAGTGTGGTCATCCAGACACACTCACCTTTTGCTTGTTATTCTGTTTACCTTGTTTGTTGTCAAAACCCAGGGCTTTTGTATAGCAGGAACTCCTTTGCATGTTAGGCCACACACCCCTAATGTAGCCAGTCCTAATGCTTCAAGAGGTTCTGAGGCAGGGGTACCCAACTTTTGTGAGCCCGAGGGCACCTGTGGAATTCTTAAACAGCCTGGTGGGTACAGCCACAAAATGGCTGCTGCAGGAGGTGGGGCCAGCCACAAAATGGCTACAGCAGGAGGCGGGGCCAGCCACAAAATGGCTGCCGCAGGAGGTGGGGCCA